CTGAAAAGCTGCTTGAGAATTTTTCATCCTAAAAGGCATTACATTGTACTGGTATAACAAAAGCAGATATATATTTTGCTCTGTCAATTAGAGGAACAGCCCAATATCCCTTTAGTAGGTCACAATTTGTGATATATCTGGCTTTTCCAATTTTATCAATACAATCTTCCATTCTTGGAATGGGGTAGGAATCTGTCTTTGTTAAAGCATTTACTTTGCGAAAGTCTGTACAGAATCTAACCAAACCATCAGATTTGGGGACCAGTACACATGGTGAAGACCAATCACTTTTACTGGGCTCTATAATGCCGTTTTCTAGCATGTAAGATATTTCTTTACGCATTTTATTGGTCTTGATTGGATTCACATGATAGGGATGTTGTTTCACCGGAGAAGCGTCACCTATATCTACACCATGAACAGCGATGTTGGTTTGATTAGCAACATCTGGATATATACATTCGTATTCAGTCAATAAACTAGCAAGCTGATTTTTCTCTTCAGGAGGCAAGTGATCGAGTTTTGAATAAAAATTGGCCATAATGTCAGAATTACTCAGTTTGATGTTGCATTTGTCTCCAATATTTTCAAATTTACGGGTGTCTGAGTCAAAGCAAATGTCATCAGTATCAAAAGAACACTCAACAGTTAAAATATTTTCGGATGCATATAATATATGTTGTAGGGCTTCAACATATTAATATGACACAGCTGGGTATCCTTTCAACAATCAGGTGTTTTTATAACACAGTCCATATCATTAACTTTCCGAACAACCTTATAGGGACCATGATACCTAGCTTTGAGTAGATGTCCCATAGTGAGTAAAAATACCAAGATCATGTCACCAGGATGGAACTTACGCACTTCAGCCTTACGATCATAAACATTTTAATTTTGGATGACTTCAAATTCACAAGCATGTAAGAGTCTGGATCGAAACTTGGAAACTTAATCCAATAAGTGCATTTCTTTTGGATCATCTTCAACCATTGTTCCTTCAGCAACTTCAAAAGACCACGCACTGAATGGCCAAACACCAACTCAAACGGGCTAACACCTAACTACTACTGAACTGACTCACGAATAGCAAATAATAATAAATTACCTCCAATAGGTCTGCATCATATTTTTCAAGGTAGAATGGAATCTCTCAAGAGCACCTTGCGATTCTGGATGATACACACCAGATTTGATTTGTTTAGCACCGAGCTGATAAATAACTTGTTGAAACAGCCCTGACATAAAATTTGATCCTTGATCAGATTGAATTTCTTGGGGCAAGCCAACAAATGTAAATAAATTGATCAAAGCCTTAGATATATTTTGGGCTGAAATGATTCTCAGAGAGATAGCTTCGGGGAATCGAGTGGATGCGCACATGATAGTTAACAAATACTGATTCCCTGATCGAATTCTTGGTAAAGGCCCAACACAATCAACAATCACACGACTGAAGGGTTCTTCGATTGCCGGGATAGGTTTCAGAGGAAAAACAGGAATTTTCTGGTTAGGTTTTCTGACCAACTGACAGGTATGACAAGTTTTGCAAAACTGAGAAACGTCTTGACCAATTTTTGGCCAAAAGAAATCTCATAATTTTGGCACATGTCTTGTTGACACATAAATGATCTCCCATGGGGAGTTCATGTGCAACTTTTAATATTTCAGAACGACATGCCTTGGGAACAACGGTTTGATAAACAATAGCACATTCTTCTGAAGCTAGGCACATCTGGTGGTCTCCATTTCCTCATAAGCACACCATTTTTGAAAAAATAATCATTTGGAACTTTCTCCAGTTCATCTTTTGGGAGTGCATATTTAACTAGTGAAGAGATCTGCAGATCTTTTTCTTGTTCAGTGATCAGTTTACTTTTAGTAAATGGAACTTCACTAGGTGAATCAGATCCCTCATATCCATCACTATCCCTTACCGAGGAATCATCAGTAGAACAATTATCCACAAGATCCTATAATATCGTCCTCTGAATCCATGTCTATCATTTGTTTTTGGTTTAATTTTTAGCCTGAGCTCGAGTCACACCACACGAGGGAAACACATCGGGATTCTCCTCAACGACAATGTCATCCTTAGATGAAACAGTGATCAGCTTGCTAACCATTTTAGGTTCGGCAACAACTTTTCCCCCAGTCCAATCGTTCCCAACAATAATGATACACCCTTAATTGGCAGAGTAGGTCTTATTCCAACCACAACTGGTCCCGAAACTAGGTCTGATGCAAAATAAATGTTATAAAGAGGAACATTAACAAAGCCACCCTCAATACCCTCAGCAATAAGAGACTCACCAGTGGCAGAACTCGAATCTAAAGGAAATATACCTTCTAACAATGATTCAGTCGCCGCAGTATTACGTAGAATAAGTATGGTATAGGATTGCCAGTGTCATTTGTCAGACACAGAACCTACAGACACAAAAGGTCTAAATCTCTCCCTGATTACATCAGTCTTTATATCAATGGCCAAATCAACAACATCGAGTGATCTGGTGAAACTACTCCATATGTGGACGCAAACGCACTGGGTGTTGCCTCCTTTTCTTTTTCAAACCCAAACAACTGGACATAGCATGACCAGGTTTTTTTTTTACAAAAATGGTAGACAGGCCTTGATTGTTTTTATCCTGACTGTCAACAGATTTCGAACTAGAAAAGCTGGATTTTTTAAAATGCTCCTCAACTTTAGTGGATTGAACCAATACTGGTCTTTGTTGAGATGGTAGAAATTTCTTTTTATGAAAAGTGGTTTTATGTGTTAAAGTGTAGTCATCTGAAAGAGCGGATGCTTCCTGTAGTGTTCCAACTTTCTTTTCATCTAAGTAAGTTTTGAGGTCGTCACGTGCACAACATTCAAATTCCTCAATTAGACATAATTCTCTTAGTTTGTCGAAACTATTGCCAATATGCGTAGAATTGCACCATTAATCAAAATAAACCCCTTTTTTCGTGAGCAACTTCCGTGTAAATTTGATTATCTTGTTTGCGATAACCTCGAAACATTTGGCGATAAGCCTCTGGTACTAACTCATATGCTTTGAGAATAGCTGCTTTAACCTTATCATAATTCGTACAATCTTCTAAAGAGGGAGCGGCATAAGCGTCTTGTGCTTTACCAGTTAAGACACTTTATTATAATAATGACCATTATTCGGTGGGCCATTCCATGGTTTCGGCAACCTTCTCAAAATGTTGGAAATATTTATCAACTTCATTTTCATTCAGTGGTGGTACTTTAACATATCGATTAAGTTCAAAGTTGTAATTTTGCCTTGGTCGATTGCTGTTGAGTCTAATTTCCATTTCTTTCAGCCTAATTTCTTTTTCGGCTTCAATATGAGCTTGCTCTTTCTCCTTCTCGGCTTCCATACGAGCTTCAGTTGTTTTGAGTTTTAGCTGCATCTCTATTTTATCTTTATCACTCAACCCCGATTGGCTAGTAGGGACACTAGAGTATTCCTCTAATGTTTCTTCAGGCAACAAATCATCATCGACTAGTATTTCGATAATATGCTTTTTTAGTTCATTTTTCTCATTGACCTTTTAACTTCTGGTTCTAAAACTTTGGCAATTTCGAGCAATTAATTTTTGTTATATTTTTCTAGTTGTTCAAGAGAGGGTGATTCAAGAAAATCTTGATGATCAGACATGATCAAATCTTGTTGACATTGATAAATATAAATTCAATTGCGATTTAAATTTTAATTTAGATCGAATTTTGTCTCTGATTCAGATCTCGGACACGAGCCCCAATTTAGTATGTTACGTATTAGAATTTCAAATGGTCTGAAACCGAGCTAAATTATACTTAGTAGTTAAATTGTACTTTAAATTTAGCAGTTAAGTAAAATCCGATATATAGTGAGTTATGATATTTGACAACAAGACTGATACACACAGTTTTCTTTTTTAACACAAATACGTTATGAATATATACACAACAATACAATTTACAATAACAGTTATTACAAACAATGATTTATAAACAAAAGGTTCACAAACTTACAAGCAATATAAAGTCTTATTTCTAGTCTGGAACTTCTTTGATATCTTATCGAGGGTTCACAATGAGCGAGTTAATTATGAATTGATGTAGATACGATTCGTTTAACGGGAAGCTAGCTAGCTTTGTCCTCCGTTATTTACCGATATTTTCCTATCGGTGACGTTAGGTAATGTTTTCGTAAAAATACTAATATCAGATGAACATCCACTTAAGTAAAACCATTTGTAATGTTCGAACTTTGTAAAGGTTCCTGGTCAAATATCTGAAGTTTTCCGATTGGTAAGCGTTATAACAATCACAGTTATAGCTTCCGAAGTTTGTAGCACAATGACTATAGCGAACTTATAATAGATACTCTTTTTTGGCGCGTCGCGTTGGTTATATTTATACGCGTGTAGAAACTTTCTAGAGAATTCAGCTTTACCTAATAATACCGGTTCCATTTAAACGTTTA